AAACTCAGAATTGTCAGGTATAATTCTCTACTACCAAGTGTGTTTGCTTTGTGTGGGGTATTAAATTTCCTCCTGATTATCTCTTTGGTTAAGCAAGAACATGATTGCTGATGAGATCTTGGTAACTTCTTCCTCCTAACCTGTTTTGCTCAGAGACCAGAACACAGCAACTTAATTTCCAAGCTTCCAGGAACCTTTGCTGACGATGACTGTTGTGAATATTCCAAATATGCTGCTCCTGGGCCCTACTGACCCAGTGCCTGGGGAGCCTGGAAAGGATTACCTTGGTATTGCATCCTTTGTCAGCTAGGTTTCAAAGAGTGTCCTGTTGTCTCAGTGCTCAACTTTTATATGTAGAGAATGCTCAGTGTTTATGGGTTTGCAATTGTGTCTTCATTTCTGAAAAAATTTAAAGCATAGGATCTATCTGGTGTTTTGGATGCCAACTGGAAAAATAGTGCCTGAAGTTAAGGAACTTCAACATAAACCTACTGTTGTATATTTTAAGAGGAAAATACTTAAAAAAAAAAGAAAATAGTACTATACAAAAAAAAAATCACAAATTACTTATTGGGAAGAACACATAATATTTTAGATATAAATATATTGTAGCATGACAGATTGGCTAAGTATTAAATTAAAATATCAAGAGGTAATATGGATCCCACAACTTACCATGTATACAAACTTATATATGTACAAATAATTTTTTTCTAATGAGTCTGAAATTCCCTATCATGAGGAGTCTAGGGCTTCCTTGCCTATGAATAATGAATGGACTTTAGAAAAGGCTACTATTATATACATTCTACATGGGGCTCCTCATCCATCCATAAAAATGTCATTCAAATTAGGGTGCCTCCTGTAGGTACAGAATACAACCTTCATAGCCATACAAGCTATTTTAGTGTCCAGTGAGAAATTAAGCAGTAAGACACAATGAACTGCAAAGTCTTCATTACTTAAGCATGCCATTTGATATCTTAAATTTGATCAGTGTTGGAATGAAATGGAAAATAAAAATATAAACCATCAATAACCAATCATTTTTGTACAGTATGAGAAATTGTTTTCTAGAATGATTCAAACAGAAAATAAGCATTTTTAGGAGACTGATATAAGGGACAAAAAATGAACGTTGGGTGAAGGAAAAAATCACTTCACCTCACTTAATAAAGTTAATTAAAATAATAGATGATGTAGATGCAGTGCTTATAGCTAGCAAACAGCAGAACATTGTGGTAAAAATTTTTAAAAATTGTGTTCCCTGTTCATAAAGTTCCATTTGATCTCATTTACTGATGACTAATAAAGTGATTTGAGATTCATGATACTATAATCCTCCATCAACTCTGAATCACTGTGTTGTACCATTCCTGTCTTATAGGCGTGAGCAAAGCTTTATGGTGTATAATGCTTAGATGTCTAGAGTCCCAAATTCCGTTCTGAAGTTCTTACCACCACACCGCTTGGCGCATACTCATTAAAAATCCACCAAGAGATCGCAGCAAATTGCTAGGGTAACTATTTTCCCATTAGATTCTCATACTGGGGTTCAGAAGTCAGAAAGGAATAGGCCTCAAAAATAGTTTACATTTATCTTCAAATAATCTGGTTGCTTTTGATAAGGCTCGATGAAAGCAGTTTGTGTTTTTTAATGCTATTAAAGATGAATTCATTTTTCATGAATTCAAAATTTTTGAAATTTATGCATATATTTTCATCACACGAAATCTCTTGAAGTTTTACAATATTCTTTTGATGCATGAGTTTTATATTTTGCACCAAAATTAATGTGGCTTAATTCCAGTTTTCATAAAATTTCTAAAGCATACTTTTTAAAAGACAAAAATGACTTAAAAAAAAACCCTAAAATTTTCTTTCCTTTCTTGTCATGCCTTAAATTCTCTAGAAGGAAAAAAATTCCTATAGGTTTCAAATGACAAAAGCATACTCTAAACTTTAGAAGGAAACAATCTTACAAAGGCAAAGCTGAAGAATCAGCTTAGATTATTAAATTTTAAACCGTTCTTAGGACTGAAGTGTCAGTGAGGGAAGGCTATGGTGGGGGAGTCTTCAAGCTCTTGTAGGCACAACAGAAGTTGAAGGCCAGTGAAGACCGCTATGAGTCCTTTTCTACCAGGTTGCAGTGAACACTGTGTATCACAAAAGAGAGGCTCTGTGCCACCCAGGAGGAGAAAGCAGGGCATCAGGCACGACGCAGAAGGAAAAGGACCAGGATGTCAGCTGAGGGAACAATGGCTCCAGAACCAATCCCAGTTATTCATAGGCCATAAGTAAAGAAGATTAGCTTTCCTAATTTCTTCTGCTTGTAGCAACTGGTCTTTGTTGTTTTTGGTTGTAATATTTTTGTAGTACTTGTTGTATTTTTAGTTGTCACAGGATGTAACAACAACAACAACAACAACACTGCCCCGAATTAGCAGTGTTGAAGAATAAAGTCAGAAACATTGCATTTATCTACAATCTTGCTCTGTTTGCACAGCAGATGTATGGGAGGGAGGAATGCCTGTTTATAAGAATATAATTATCTGAGATTACCTGTACACATATTGCTCTGGGAGCATGCTGCAAGTTAATAGTGTAGCAAATTACAGGAATTCTCCCAATAACAGCAAAGTCATCTGTGCTGCAATGGGTAGCATTTACTGAAAATATGGAAACCATTTCATCAACTAATGACTCTGCTGCATTCTCCCAACGCGAATTCTTACCTCTTAATGTCTCTATCTGGGTTCTTGGTAGACTGTAAGTGGTAGAACAAGTGGCTCTTGGAAACATTAAGGTTTTCTGTAGTCCCATATATCTTGTTACAGAAAGATAGTTTCAATTATATGCCTGCTACCCTTTTCAAAAGAATTTGTTAAAGGAAGAGATACACTGAGGAATTTTGGAAGGTTGGCAAAAAGAACAGTGTTAGACAAAGCATTTTGAATTTTAAAAAATCAGGAACAAAGATTTCTTCAGTAGGAAGATTTTTTTTATTTTGAAAATGAAGTGCATTTGATAGAAAAGACTATTGTCTTTTTAGGAATGCAGGCTAATTTTGGCCAAGTGTCACACTAGACCTAATTTTGCCTTATAATTTGCACATCTTCCTCCGGGGTTAAATCCATTGCCAACAGTATGTATTAACTTGATACCATTTGATGTATTGGCTTAAACCTTAGGGTAAGTGGATCCAAAAACACATCAACCTCAGATAGAAGCAGTGGACAGCCATAATGTGTAATTCCTTTAGAGGTGTGTGTGTGTGTGTGTGTGAATGCTGTATAATTACATGTTTCTTTAAGCAAGAGTGATAGAATTATTAGTACAAATTTTGGGTTGAGAGGACTTGCTCCCCTCAGAGGATCAAAAGTAACCTTGAAAACTTTACTCTGACACCCACCTTAGAACAAGGTTAATCTCCAAATCCCTGGCTCATCCATGGACTCAGCTGGGTACCAAAACCACATGGGACCTCTTACCCAGGATGCCCCAAAGCCAATCAGCTGGATAATACCATGTGGTACGGCTTACCAGAATACATGTGAATACTTTGTTGGTGGTCACTCAAGTGTCTAGATTTATACTGCTCAGATCCTATCAGATCCTCAACATAAAGGACAGCATTAAGAATTACTAAGTTATTGAATTCCTTCTGTCTTGGATGCTTAACTCATGTGTACTTCATAGTCATTTTCTCCAATATTTACCGCAATCTTGAATGTTAAGTACACAAGAAAGAGGTCCAGAGAGGTGAAGTAACTTCCACAGTCACTGAGATAATAAGTATCTGCATGGAGATGACCTTGTGACTTCCAGTGAAAAGAAGCTGTCCTATGCCCTAGTGACACCTCAGCTAATGATTTAGCACACACACAATGGTGTTCTCATCAAATTGTATTGCCTACTGACAACAAAGCCATCTGGTTTTGTGAAGGGACACAAAGTATGGTATCCATACACTGATGAAATGGCCTGATGACACAATTCTCAGAATACATTCCTGTGCTTTGAGTGATACATGACTATCGATGACATAAAATCTACTTATTTTCTGTCTGAAACTAAAGCCAGGTTGCCAACTCTGGCAAGTCTTAGGAAAAAAGAATACCATTCATATTAAAGTTGCAGTAAGGGGGCTGCATCAGCAGGCTAACACCTGTTTCAACCCTATTTCCTTCAGGCCCACTCTGAGGCTCCCTGGCCTGCGCTATGGTACAGTGTGTGAGTTTTGTTGGTCAGCGTTTAGGCTCTGCATATTTGTAGATGGAACTAGTGCTAAGACTCAGGTCCAGAGTTAGCTCAAAAGCTTGTGATAGGTATGAGTCACCTGTGAGCTTGAAAATATACAACTCTGGGCATTACCACTATATTACCACTACATGTCCACTAGGCTGGGATGGGTGGTGGGTGAGTGGGTGGGAATACAATAGTTAGAGCTTGTAAAGGAGCCAGCATAGCAGGAATCCCTTAAGATATGTCCACAAAATGACTCCTCACCCTGCTTCATGCTTGTCCAGGGTTACTTTTTTCCTAATCTTGATCAAGGTTACTTCTATTTACTTGTATTAATTTGTGGGTCAGACCTCCAGGAAGCACTTTACTTCAGTTACACAAATGAGTACAGGTTTCACGAAGTCCTGCAGACTTTGCCCAGTGTATTTAAGGCAGAAATGTGTTCTTCAAGATGGATATGGTTTTGAAAGCGCTCACTGTAATAGATAGCTGATGTGAAAGTTTATCCATTGAACCCTTCTGCCCTCTGCATGCATACCCTCAGGAATGTTTTCCTGTCAACATCATGCTGCTGACCAGCTTTCTGACCTCAAGAAGTGCCAGGACAATGTTCTGCAAGTGACATTATTTTTATGGACTCTTTCCCTTCAGAGTTCTAGTTCGTTATAAAAGCTCTCGAAACTGTAGGAAACAAAAGGACAAGAAGGGAAGTGAGCATCTGCTTCTGGGAGAATTATATAAGAATGTGTCCCTACCTGGCACCGAAGTTCCAAGTGCAACAAACACCACTGCAGTCACGGAATCTTTCAGGCCAATGGTGCATCCAAAGTGGGAAGCCAGGTCTCCGATGAAAGCTGTCAGCAGGCCAATCATGAGGATGGAGACGATGAAACAGGCCCAGCCATTCCAGTATTCTGTAGGGGGGACGAAGGCAAAGAGGACCTTCCAGAACACGGTCAGAAAGTGCATCACGTAATCGAAACAGGAGGGCAGCTTCTCCTCCCCACATTCGTCATCGTCGTCATCTTCTCCTAGAAAGGAGTAAAGAAGATTTTATCAGAGACTATTGCTGCAATCTCCCCTTTCTCAATGGCACCATTCCACAGTGACAGGAGGCCATCAGAGGTGGATGGGTTTCAGATTTAAGAGTCAGTCAACCAATTAATGGTCAGGGTACAACCAGGTGGCTCCTTGGTCAATCACAAGAACTTATGTGTCACTGAATTCTGCTCACATGCAATTAATACTCTCTTTCTCTTTTGAGATTTGTCACTTCCAAGACTTGATAGCATTTTCTTCCAAAAGACTGGAAAGCCAAGAAGGAAGCCTTGTTTTTGAGGAGAGGTGACAGTGGATGGAGTTCTTCTGGATTTATTTCTTTCCAAGATGAAGTCCATTTCTGGGAATAAATGGTTATACAATCACCTAAAGGACAATATTCAAACAGGGCCCTTAATCATGGCTGTGGGCTTTGCCTATTTTTCAAGTTTCATCTCCCGTAACTATTTCAAACTCAAACTTTGTACTAGCCAAGTGGCATGACTTGCATTTTCCTCCAACCATATGTACTTTCTTCTACTTTTGTCCCTTTAGAACTCAATGTTCTCAGTATGCCCAAATCTATACATACCCTGTCTCATTCATCCTTTAAAATTCATTTTTCCTATAAATCTTTCTCTGATCCCCTTCCCACACAAACAATGCTAGGATCCCTTCCCCAGAGATCTCAAAACTCCCCAACTCATAATTTTACATCTACTTGTCCTCAAAGTGTGCTGTCTGAGGTAGGAGTACCAAAATGTGTTGGGAATACAACTTCTCATGCCACTGGATCAAAAACATAGGGCAAGTAGTTGGGCTAAAACAATCCCTTTTACCCTCTACTGAATTATGATACATGCTTATGGTTGGGATCCATGGCTCTGCGTGACACCAATTCCCTTTCCTTTCCTTCTTAGCTGACTGTGAACTCATCTTTGTGTCTATAATGTTTTGTATCATCTGCCGTATTTAAACCAGGGCACTGGTGTGTCTGTTAAAGGGATACATGTATTGCATATCTATGTCACAATTTCATCACAGCTGTTTGTACACAAATTTCACCACATATTGTCACACTGTATCAATGCACAAATGGCACAAACCTTGCTATTTCAGGAACAAGGAGGTAAATAATATTAATCTGAAATGCAGATTACACCGTGATGTGAGAATAATCCAAATTTACATACTGTCAAAGGAGAGTGTTGACTGTCAACTTCTCTTGAAATGATTGCAACTATCATGTATCCCGTGGCCATTTTGGAATGAAGAAGTCTTCAAAGACTCGTTGACACACACTTTGACCTTGTCATCAGGGATCTATTTTACTTTTCCAGCCAGTGTAGCTGGCAGCAGGTGGGGCTCGTGATGTTCTAGCTGACTGTGTGATCTCCGTTTGCTAATGTGCACTGCATATATTTGCTTTTCTTGAAGTGCTCCATGGTGAGGCCATCTGCTATCAACCATGTCCAAGAAAAGCCCTTGAAAATATTTGAGGTTTGGGGGAACACTACTTTTTCACAAAACATGTGAGACATGTCCCTTTGTCACCTGTCTCTGTCTTGAAGAGAGAAGAGGTCATGGCTTGCTCTCCTGATCATGTGGTCTCAGTTACCATATAAATGGGCCTTGGGACTCTATGTAGTACTCAGCCTCATTGTCTGAGGCTTTGAAAAGCCTCCTGTAAATCACTCCATAAAAGCTCCAGTAGATGCTTCATCTTAGGAGGCTGAGGTGGGATCTTGAATCAGGTTGGCTGGCTGAAATGTGTAAGTGAGCAAGCATTGTTGACAGCCTCATCCAGTGTACATATTGCACAGGTATTGCATCTTTTTAAGATCAATTGTGTAAATGGAGAAAGTGTTATTTCATATCAATACTGATAGCTTTAGTGTGTCTTCTGTAAATTCACACGTTGAAACACTACCCTCAGTAGTTCCAAATGGGGCCTTGTTTGGAGATAGGGTATGTAAGTGCTAACTAGAAAGTGAAATCCTGAGTGTGGGGCCTAGTTTAATCAGACTGATGTTCTTTGAAAAGAGGAGCTTAAGACAAGCAGGGAAACATGAGATGTGTTTACACAACTGAAAGATGATGGAAGGACCAAGAAAGACAGGCATTTGAAGGCCAATGAATGAGACCTTAGCAGGGAGCAGGGAATCAAACTTAGTGACACCTTAGTCTTGGACTTCTGGACTCCAGAACTGTGAAAAAAAATAAACCTGTACTGTTGAAACTTCCCACTGTTTTACATTTTATTGGAAATAGCCCTGGTAAGCTGACAATGCAGTCCTTAGGAAAACTCCATCATGATATTTGAGCCTGCTGTACCTGTATGGAAACGTGATACTGTGGGTTACAAATACACGAACCTATGTGTCAACTAAAAATGTAGGGCCACTCAGTGTTTGTGTTAACTTTTGTTTCATTACATTTCTTCTTTTTTACTTTTCTTCCTGCTTCTCTAATTTGCTACACCTAAGGTCCCTGAAAACTTGGTGTAAGAACTGCAGTCTGAAGAGCTAATTTGCAGGAGAGAGGAAGAACAGAATGATCACAATTCTCTCCCTTATTCTCTCCTCCTCCACTCCTTACTCCAAATGGAACAGTACTAAGGAATGCACTAATCTATTTACATTTATTTTGTATTTGATCCTTTTAAATGTCTATGTTTGTGAACATGCCGCAATTTCTCAGGACATATGATTAAAATGTTTGGAAAATACTGAGTTATAATGAGTGAGACACGCGGACTCTATTGCTTTGGATTCTATGAATTTACTTAATTTTGGGAGTCTAAGCCTTCTATTTTGAAAGTAATGAAGAAAAACTTCTCAGGAGAAATGACACTTATAATCCAGAGTAGTTATTTGTCTTCAAGTAGGAAGTAGCACCTTTCCCACCAGAGATGTGCAGGGAAATACTTAGATCATCTCTCCAAAGTGTGTGTGGATATTTGAAGGTAATGATTATGCTAGCTATCATTATTTTCTGCCACTTAGAATTGTTAGTGTTTCGCTATCATTATTCAATGGCTTAGTCAACATGCCTGGTCCAAAGGTTATGTGGTAGGTTTGTAATAACAAAATTGAATCTTGCTCTCTAAAATTAACATTATGATCTGCTCATATAAAATGTGTATGTGTTTAAGAGAAAATGAGAGAGTGAGTAGAGGGTGGGACTTACTTCTGAAGGCTTCTGACGTTATCAGAAAGCTTAAATGTTTTCATGTGTGAGCCTGGCATGACAGGCCCCTGTGTTTGATAGCATTTCAGAGGCTAAACTGCTTCTTGTCCTTTTCTCAAAAGTCTCACTGCAGATTTTACATCTTAATCTCTAGGTGAGATGCCATTTAAATATTAAAAGTGAAGTCTGTCATACTTGGTGCACAATTTTCCCATCTAGGGGAAGGACCAAGAAATAGGTTAATGTATCACCATCTGGACGATGTTTACATCTTGTTCTTTTTAAGAGCACTAGGGCATTAAACATCACAATAAATAACTTCCTACCTTCCAGATCCTGTGAGTGTCCTTTTTGTGACATCAGAAATGATAATAATTTGCTGGTACTGTGTGACTGCCAGCTCAGGGAGCCTGGAGGCTACACTAGCCTTTTAGGTCCCTCCTTTATGGTAACAAAAGCAACAGGTGGGTGGGTTTGCTTTTATAGACTCCCAAGTAAACTCTCCTTATCTCAGGATCCTCCTTTTCAGCTTTATGGATTCCACTCATGGAAAAATAAACAAGCTGTATTCGATTAATCCCACCTATAGTCTTTTAAATGACTTCCTTGTTGCAGTTACTAAATATAACTAGGAAAACAGGCAAATCATCAAAAGTGCCAAGAATGGAGAAGCCATTACTTCAGCTATTATAACGTGATGCTAGTTGAACTGCTCCCTGCTGCAAGGAATGAAAACTAAGGCATCATCACCACAATTGACCATAAACAGAAACCCCCAGTTTGACACTTGCAGATAATGCGGTTTTTAAAGTAAACAGGTGTTTGTTGACACACATTTCCCAATGGTTTAGATTAAAGGCAAGCTCCAGAACCTGAAGGCAAGGCTTCTGGGTATAGTGGACACTTGTATCAGAAATCTACAGTTGACTTTTAGCTCAGATAGCTTTTGGGGGGGATCAGGAACTTTCTGAGCCTCAGTTCCTTTTCTGTTAAATGAGCTGTCACAGAGCTATTGTGGGGACCGGAAGAGGAAATGTCCAAGTCCTCTGTAATACTGTAACCCCCTCCACAGATATGCCATAATCCATTATTGTACTTGTCAGAAGAAAACAGCAAATCAATATAACCGGAGGAATCCTGACTCCACTGGATCTATATTCTGCTTGAATAAGCCATTATCATGGCAGTTCCCTTGAGCTGCTTGACTTTAAGAAAAGAGGCAGGGAACATGACAGGGACTCCACGAAGTGCAAGCACTGAGACAAATGCTTTCATGTTTTTTATCTTATTTCATCCTTACAAAAACCCTATAAGATAGGCATTATTAATCCAATTGTACAAATGAAGAACTTGAAGTTCAGAGAATTGGAGTGATTTTCTAAAATAATCACACAGTTCATGAGCAGCTGAGTTGTGACTTGATCTAGTAGCCCAGGGAATATCTTCCTATTCATACGGCTTAATAGAAGTGAGTTGAAACATCCATCACACTGATTCAAAGTCTGAATGTGAGAATTCAAATGCCTGGTGCTTATACCTTTTAGGAATGTGACACTGTTGATATATCATCAGTAATATTTGCTTTCTAACATTGTTCAGATGTGATTCTTTTGCAGTTAGTAACAAGCTTTGTCTCAAGCCCTTCGGGGGATGAGTGAACAGTGAAACAGAACAGTGAAGTACAAGAAGAGCCTCATGGTCATGACCATATTGGAATCTCTAGGGTAAAATGGGTTCTTAGTCCATTCCTACTTCCTAAAGTCAGTTCTGAATCTAACATCCTGGGGTTTGCATATAGCTCTAC